TCATGGTAGTGGCAGTGTTCCCGCCGTGGTAGCTGAAGGTTAAAGCATTTGAAGTTAATGTCGTGTAGTGAGAGCACTTTTAACTGTTGAAAGTGAGCAGTGAGAAGGGTCACACTTCTGTTGCAGGAGGCAAACAAGGACTGTCAAAAGCAGAAGAGTGTAGGTATTATGTCAAAGGAAGAGAACAGAGAGGTACAGACTCATTCCACACAAAAAAGTAAACAAGATCATGATACATCATCGACGTTCAGAAAGAGCAGAAATGGGGAGAGATTCGGGGAAGTCCTCGAGGACATCAGCAGGAGAGTTTGACTTTGTGGCACCTGGTATTTCTAATGGACCAAGAGTAGTGATGGAAGGAACAGTCTGTTTTAGATAAAGCCCTCAGCGCCAAAACTAAAGAATGCTGTTTATAAACCGCTCATGGGAAACATTCGCCAGAATTCACTGTATATTGACAATAGGAAAACCTTCCTGAGCTCAAACAGGCAGAACTAATGCAGACACGCACCTGCTCACGACATGATGAATTTGAGATTATGAACAAAACAAAACAAAAATGAAAGAGAACCCAAGCCTCTGTCTTCAGCATTTCTTGGGTCGGAAGTGCACAGAATCCAGAAAACACGTTTCAGAGCCTGTGGGAAGCAGAGCGGGCTTGAGAAGAAAAATCGCGGATTAAATATTTATATTATTGAGCAGGAAAGCGTGAATAGAGATAGATTAAAGACCCCGATCAAGAACTCAGGAAAGGAAAACAAAATAAGCCCTAGTAAAGCAAAAAGTAGGAATTCGTGAAGATCAAAGCAGAAGTTAATAAGAAAGTGAAAAATACTGGAAATAATAAATCCAAGTGCTTGTGCCCCAAAATAAAGTTAGTTAAATGCATGAGTCATTCACAGTCCCAGTGAAAAATGAGCAGACGCACCCCCCACACGCATGAGGACTGAGGATAATCAGTTTCTGGCAGGGAGGGCGTGTGGGAGTCCCCCTGGTGCCTGGCCCCCTGGTCCTGCTCGGAGGTGCCCTGCAGGTGTAGGCCCACATGGCCACAGAGCCGGCCGTGGCTCCTGCACTGGACCATGTTTGAGCTGCACCTCGAGGGTGGCAGAGACAGAGCAAACATGGAAGTCAGTCTAAAAAGAATAAATGGAAGTACCACAGCAGTACTCACTCTGGACGCGACTGAAACGTTAAGGAGACTGAGTACACTGTCTGCACATTGGCCGCTCCTGCCCTCCCCCAGCAAGAGGTAACAGAAAACAGTTGCCTCGGGTTGAGGCGGTTTGGGGGAGATTCTGTGGGGCCGACAGAGCACAGACCCCGTGTATGCCACATGTGCTGACCGAGCATGGTGAGAGAGGCTCTTGAGAGGTGAGCGACAGCTGTGCTGCGTGGCCGTCACGTCCGCGGGGGCCCAGGCTGTGGACGCCACCCTGAGCACCGGGCCCACAGGTCAGGCAGGGAGCCAGCAGGCCCAGGACGGACCCCACAATTCCCCCCATCCCTGTGCTGGGCTGCCAGCTTTTTTTTAGGGCAAGTGCTCCATATTTGCCGTAAAGGAATTTAAACCCAACATTCGTCTTAATAAAACGTGAACATATGGATAATTTCTCGACATGATAGAGTGTGTCTATTTCAACCTCGAACTGACATGCTGTGGAGGAAGATACGGGCTTCCGCTCCAGGGCTGCCGCAGACAGGCACAGGATGCCCAGGGCTCCAGGCGCCCAGGTGCAGACTCGGGCTGGCAGAGGGAGGCTGCTGCTCGCACCTCGGACGTGACTGTGTGCTGGACTTGCCCACTGAGACGGCCGCAGCAGTCCACGGTCGTGAGGCTGGGGACAGGGTTACCGCGCAGGGCTTCTCAGACCTGCACATCCAGACACGAGCTAGGTAAGAAAATGCACCACGTACAACAGCAGCACCACAGGGCACCCACGAGCCCCAGGCCTGCTCCCGGTGTGGGGTGCGTGGGGCTGACGGCACCCCCTCATGCGCTGACTTCCCAGTCTGTGCATTTACCACAACCCCAGTGTTTCCTACAAAGGTTGGTTTTTTGTTTTGTTGAGATGGTTGAAGGGAGGGCTGGGGCAGAAGAGAGAAAGTACCCTGGAATTGTTGTGGATAGAAGGGCAGAGGAAGAGGACATCAGAGGCAGATGCAGAGCTTGCTGACAGTGTGGAGTCAGACGTCAGCGGGTGGCCATCGCTCCTCCGCATCCTCCTACAGGGATGTCGGGGCCGGTAGGTCGGCCACAGGAGGAACCCTGCGAGGGGACCAGCGCATCCAAGAGCCACGTGCTGCGGCATGGATTCCATGCTGTTGGGTGGGAAGCGGCTGAAACCTCTGTCCGTGGAGACGGGTCAGCGAGAGACTGGAGGCCCGCGCAGCGGGATCTGTGGGGCCACAGACATGAACTGGGAGGTGCGCTCCACACCGGTTTGGAAATCTCTCCCAAATAGATTAGGTGAGAAAGCCAGAGTACAAGACAAGGTGAGGCTGTCTTAGCGTTTTTCTAACAGTGAATCAAGAGAGAAATGAGGGGAAGTACCGGGTCTTACTTGCTGGCAGGAGCATATGCTGTTCCTGGGGCTGCACGGCCGGACGGCTCCAGGGGGCTGCAGCTAGTGTCAGGGTGACCACGGAGCTTTGCAGAGGCCTCTGGGCTGTGTACCTGTTGTGTCCCACCTTTGAACCTTGGGTCCCGAGGCTGCATGGAAGGTGGGGCGGTAGACTGGGGCTGGGACTGGGACATTCCTGCAGAGAGACCACCTGTCTGCCGCGCGGGCACTTGCCGCCGTGGGATGTGCAGCCTCCTCTGCTCGAGAGATGGAGACAGACCAGCCCAGCTGCATTCTGCTGTTTCCTTCTCCACCCGGGAGAGTTATCCTGGGCCACTAGCCCCTGCATAAGCGTCTGGATGGCATCAGAAAGGAGTGAGGAGCCTGGCCAGCGCGGGGAGGTGTGTGGGGATGGGGGGGCAGGAGGGGCTCCAGACATGGTTGGCACCACTTCTCCGGGAAGGTGAGCAGGCCTTGTTGCGCGTTGTGGGGCCACGGCATGGTCTCTTTGTGCCTGTCTGTGCAGGGGGACCTCAGCCAATGGGCACTGGTGGGTGTGTGTGGGGACTCTGTCTCCTTTCCTCTGGGGACTTCGTGGAGGCCACTACTGCTCGTGCTTGGTCTCCACAACCAGCAGGATTGTGGTCACCCGCGTGTGTGGTGGTCCCACCTGGGACCTAGATGATTGGTAACAGGGCTTCATGCAGACTGGAAGCCTTGGGCCTAGGAACTCCTCAATAAGCTGCTGCAGGAGGACCTTTCCAGGAACAATCCAGAAAGGACATTATTGAGAAGAAGGCTGCTCATTCAGGCCCAGTTAGGCAGATAATGTAGACGCTCTCTGGTCCCCCAGCCCTGGGCCACACTGATCTGTCCACACCCTTCCCACAGACCCTGCTGGCTCCTGGCTCAGGACAGCAGCGTCGTCCACTTACTTGCTGGTGCAGGCTGGGGAGCTTTTGGCCGCTCTGGGGAAAGGGCAGGGTTTTCAGTCGTGCAGCCCGGAGGGTAGTGAAACAGGTCCACAGACCCGGACTGGCCACGTCATTCCCAGCCTGTACCTTTGGGTGGGCGTGGGAGGAGGTCTCTTCCTGACGTCACCTGTCCCTTGGCATGCAGAGTTGGGGGGGTGTCGAGTAGCCTTGGGGCATCCGGACAGGCCACTGCAGGGAGGGGCTGCCTGGGAGCTGTGTGCAGGCCACCCCCAGTGATGTGGGAAGTCTTGTGTCTGCCCTGTGACCCAACCCTGTCCATTGCCCTCATCCGAGCTCACTGGACTCTCGTCCTCGTTGTCCAGGCTTCTGTGGGGCCTGGAGCTTGAGACACCTGTCAGCTCGCCCCTGAGCTGCTTTTTGCGCTGACTGAGGTCATTTCTAATGAGTACTGGCTTGTCAGAGTCCCTTGGGGGACATCTGCCCCCTTGACTGGGTCTGGTGTGATGAGGAGTGGCAAAGGCTGGCATGTCTGTATTCTTGGTGGTGTGCCCACCAGCCATGGGGCTGCAGTTTCCGGGAAGGCCCTGTGAAAAGACAAAGGCACCTCTCCCGGCCTTCCGCTGTCAACTTGGGGACATTCAGATTCCCACAGAGGAGCCTTGAACCCCACGTCTGGGCCAGAGCAGACCATCCTGGTTACGCGATTTCCTCTCTGGCTGCATGGTGGTTACCGAGGATCTCTCCTGATCTGAGAGCTGGACGTACAGCAGTCAGACAGACTGACCCTGGCCAGATCAATGGATGCAGAGCCACATCTGCCAGACAGGGCCCTGAGAAATAGCCCTGGGCATCGCGAGCGTCTCCAGCAAGGAGGTGGGGTTGAGGAAGGGGGCATGCTTTTTGGGGAGCAGGAGTTCTGGGGGCTGTATGCAGTTCGCAGGCTCGCTTCTATGAAGGCCCCTGCCACTGCCCCTGTCCGTGAACCTGGGCCACCAGGCAGGAACCCCCTCTCTGCTCCTTCTTCAACCTCTTTGCATCTGTCCCAGTCCCCCGGCACTCCTTGTTAGTTCAAATCCCCGTTCCCGTCTAGGCGACCTGTGCATCACTGTCATTCTGCAAGGAATTCAAAGCAGCAAATAAATAAAAGACCATGACTATTAGAGCAGATCAAAGCACTGGTAAACTCAGACTGTGTCCTTTCCAGCTGTTGTGACCCCTTTCCCCCATTCTGATGTTTCCCATCCGCATGGCCCAGAACGAGTGTATGTCTGTTGCTGCCCCGGTGGTGGGTGCTGAGAGCTGCAGGCTGTGAGATCCGGCCGCCCAGGGTCCCTGGGACACAGCGGAGCCCAGGCGATGGCAACTCTGCCCCCAGTGGCTCTGCCTCTGGTGTCACCCCCTCTCCCAGAAGCCGGGTACGGGATCTTGGGTTCTTGCGGCCCGTGGGGATGGGGCGGGCTGCAGCAGCCACTCCTCCTGACCTGCCTGTGCTCTCTCGTAGCTGGAGATGGAGGTGAAGATGCTGCAGTCCCAGTCCAGTGCTGCTGAGCAGAGCTTCCCGCTGTGCAGGGAGGAGGCCAGCTCACTCCGGTACGTCAGCACCCACAGCCTGTGGGCCTGCCTTCCTGGATCACACTCCGTGCAGTTGGAGCCCTCCGCACGGAGACTCGGCTCTGACCCCCGGCACTGAGGTCCGTCCAGGGTCCTGCCGTCTGTGGGGGCATAGGGGGTTGCCCGGGTTCGGGCATGGACAGCCCTGCTTCAGAAGAGTGTCGGCCAGGCCACCTTCCGTCCGTGTGTCCGGCCAGCTCAGGACACAGCTGTCTCCCCTAGAGGCTTTCTTAGTTCCTCCTGACCCCATCCTCACAGAGCGCACGGCCCGCTTCCTGGGAAGGGGGGGTGGTCGCAGGTCCTGAAGGAGGAGGCTTTCAGGGAGACTGAGACAGCACTCTGAAGGAGCGTCTCCCAGCTCCCCTTGGGTCCCCAAGCTGGCCCTGCTGTTTCAGTTTGACACTGGAAAGTGGCTGATGGGCAAGTAGACGGCCTTCCCCCAGAATCTCTGTGCAAAGCAAGTGCAGGCCAAGCCACCTGGGCTCGGGGTGCTCTGAGCGCCTGCCACAGGCCAGCACAGGGCGCCCGGCATCCTGTCCTTGGGAGCTTCTTCTGGGTCAGGGAGACAGAGTGGATGAGGACCCTGCTCCTTGGGGATGTGGCTGGGGTCAGAGCATGAGCTGGCTCCTGTGCCCCCCCACCCCGGGACTATGGCCCGGTCTATGCTGGGCGGACAGCTCTCCTGTGTAGATTGAGAGAACCAGATGCAAGACCGAGTGCCGGCCGTGGACGTCCCCGTGGAAAGTGTGTGTGCAGGCGATGGTCCCCTTCTAGGTTCCAGGTTTCTCCCGTTGTTCCAGAGCCGCTCTCATGTCAGGACCTCGGCCTCATAAATAGCCATCTCTGAGGACCCCGCGGTCCTGCACTCACCAGTTTGTTCTTCCCGGGCTTATTCAGGTGCGAGCGTGTGCGGTGGGCATCCTGTGGGCTGAGCGTGAGGATGGGGCAGGGCGAGCAAGAGCACCTCTTGTCTGTCTTCCTGGATGTTACTGTGTAAGGGGGATGAGGGGGGATGTCCGGCAAATCAGGTCAGCAGCATTGGGCTGCTGAAGCATGGCAGATGGGCTGTGAGAACCCAAGTCCGTGGAGTCTGCTGGCCTTGGGAGGCTCCGGGGGTGGGCTGGGCGGGGCTGGGGAACCTAGGATTAGTGGGGGAGGCAGCAGCGTGTGAGGACGTACGTGGGAGGAAGGTCTCTGTGCTGGAGAGGGACCAGCAGGGTGCTGGGGACCGGGTCAGGCCAGGCGAGGCCCTCTGCAGTTGTGGCCTTATTCCCAGGAGCAGTGGGGCCCACAGGAGCCTTGAGGACCAAGGGGCCATCGCATTTGTAAGAGCGCCCTTGGCTGCTCAGAGTGGGGCCCTGGAAGAGGGGCTTGGCCGGGGGCAGCTGTCTGTCAGCCGAGCATCAGCTGAGTACTTGCTGTGGGAACATCGGTGTGCAGAGATGCAGAAAACACTCTCCTACACCTGACTTCCCGGAGCAGGCCCAGCCCACAGAGGAGCACAGTTGTTTCTGTCAGAGGGCGTGGTTTGTGGGGGTCCTGATAGTAGGTGGGTGAAGAGGGTTGGCAGAGGGGCTCCAGGCAGGCCTGGGGCACAGCCAAGTTCTGGGATGTGGATGGGCTTCCCCACAGGAGCCCCACAAGGAGCTGGGCCAGGGCGGTGTTCTTGGTACTGATATGAGGGGCCTTGGGGGCTGCCCTGGGAGCCCCCCACAGTGTGGGAACGTGGATGAGACACAGCATCCGCACTCTGCCTTAGCACCCTCACCCCCAGCCATGTAGCAGGTGCTTGGGACCTGAGCCGCCAGGTACAGTGGTCCTGCCTCCCACCGCACCCTCCCCAGGAATGCGGGGGTGCTGTCCAGGCCCTGGTCAGCTGCTGGCCGACCAGGGCCAGCTGCGCTCAACATTTGCATGGGTGGGCACACTTTGGGTGTATTCATTTATATTTATTTTTAAGATCTAAATAAAAGGCTTCATCAGTGATATCTTGTACATCAAGATCAAAGCTGCCTGTTTCCACCATCTCGTTTGGTGAAAGCAACCATGGGAGACGAGCCTTTGTGGCTAATTAATTGGAATTAGGTCGGCAGTTGTGTGGACCACTTGCCGAGACATGTGCTCATTGCCCTCCTGAGTATCTGACCGCTTGAGGGAAGGCTGGGGCCATGCATGACAGCACATTGTGCGCTCCCCCTCAGCCCTGTGGCGAGAGCACCTGCCAGGCCGGCTCTGGGGTCCACTGAGCACAGCCATGGGGAGCCCCCGACCCTGTCCCTTTCCCGGGACCAGTGGCTGTGAGGCTCTGCCAGCCCCTCCACTGCTATGGTGTGGGTGGAGCCTGCCACTCACCCTGTCATTCACTCCACGGTTCACCCCACCGTTCACCCTGACACTCACTCCACCATTCACCCCGCCGTTCATCCCACGGTTCTCCCCACCATCCACCCTGTGGTTCACACGTGATGTTGTGCACACACACGAACGTTGCTCTTAAACCAGCAAACTAGGGAATGTGCACAGAGATTCAGGTGGAGCCCGTGGACCTTTTCCCAGGAGTAAATCCTGGTGCTCCCCTCTCCGCGGTCACATGGCAGCACTGGCAGTCCCGAGTGTGGTCTGTGCCTTCAGTGGCCAGGTGGACTTCAGTCACTCTAGTGTCGCACGTGGCTCTCACACCTGCTGGCCCTTCCCACTGCTCTTGGCCCAGCTCCATGCCCTCTCCGCTACCCCGAGACCCCTGCTTCGGGGGCTAAAGGGATGTGCCCCATGGTCCCATCCACGCCCTTTCCAGAAAGCCAGGTGATAGACTATTATTTGTTTTTTTGTTTTTTAAAGATTATGTTTATTTATTTGACAGAGAGATCACAAATAGGCAGAGAGGCAGGCAGAGAGAGAGGGGGAAGTAGGCTCCCTGCTGAGCAGAGAGCCTGATATGGGGCTTGATCCCAGGACCTTGAGATCATGACCCGAGCCAAAGGCAGAGGCTTAACCCACTGAGCCACCCAGGGGCCCCCTCTTATTTGTTTTTTTAAAAAACACCTTGTATTGAACAAGTCCTTGATGAGCACCCTGTCTTCTGTGCACCCACGAGTCTACAATCCTGAGGACATGGGCCCTGCCCCCGGAGCTCCCAGAAAGGTTGGTTGATCTCAGAGGTGAGGGCACTGCTGGACAGCCCAGGCCTTGAGGGCACAGCCAGCCTCCCCGCGTTTCAGACCTGCTGCTGCCGCCTTCTCGTACAGACCTGGGGCCATGGGCCTTGGTGAGTGGTCCCAGTGGAACAGTGGTGCTGCCAGGGTGAGGCAACCCTCCAGGCCTGGTGCTCACAGGACATGAGCTTCTGGGCCAGCACCAGGTTTCTCAGGATCAGCCGGGGAGACTAGGGCAGCCTCCTGGAGCTCCTGTGGCCTCACGCTCCCTGCTGACTGGCTGCTTCGTTGGGAGGGTGGACAGGGGAAGCAGGGTCAGCAGGACTCCACTGCCTGGGCTGCAGGCACCTCTGTGAGCAGTGGCCGGACCACCAGGCCTGGACCCCTCTGCCAGCCCGCGGCTCTGCAGACTAGAGCTGGTGGCCGTGCCCGTGGGCCGGGTGCCACCTACAGAGTGATAGGGCCTCCCTGCGCTGACCTGTGCGGCCAGCAGCGGGGGAGGCGTGTGCCTATGGCCATCTCTGGGCCCGAGTCTTCTCCTTGGAGCCTGTTTCCACCTGCTGTGGATACCCGCTCGGGCCTGTGCTCATGTGCTCTGTGGGCACTCAGTGGCCTCTGGTGGCCCTGCCCCCTCAGTCCTTGCTGATTCTCGTGGGTTATTCTGCATTATTTTTTCTCTTCGGTTTTTCTAGTTCTTTCTGAGACTACAATCATCTGGGGGTTGAACTTCCTGAATTAGTGCTGTGTTTTAAAAAGATTTTTGGTTTTATTTTCTATCTTTTTATTCTACTTTCTGTAAGATTCTCTTTCTGAGATTTATCAGCCTGTTCTTACTGTATTTCTACAGTGATGTTTCCTAAAATTTCTTGTTGTTGGGTTGTTCCTTGAGGATTCTTTTATACATAAGACGCCTTGTGGCTTCGTGAGCACGCTGTGTCCGCTGTGTAGCTCTCCGTTCTCTGGGCGGCCTGTTCTTTCTCGGCTGCTTCCGTGTTCAGGTCAGTGTGGTGGGTGTAAACCGGACCTTGTTCTCTCAGTCTGGTTCACTCCGACCTCCAGAGTGCGGTGGGCCCAGCCATCTGCTCATGGGACAGGTAGGGCCTGGAGGGGCCTTGGGACTGGTCATATCTTTGGGGAAGATCCTGTCTGCGAGGCATAGGTGCTGCTATCGCCTGGGAACTGAGGGGACAGGACAACGGGGAAGCTCAGCATCACTATGGAAACGTTCCCGAAGTCCCCTGGTCATCGCGGTGACTTTGCACTTTATCTGGTATTCCTCGGCCCGGAGACCTGCTGTTTTCTCTCTCAAGAAAATAAACCTCTGGTGTTCTTCTAAGACAGGGAGAAAAAAGGGTGATGGGAAACAGAGATGCTGGCTTTTCCGAAGATCTCCAAGTCCCATTCTGGTCAGTCATCCTGTCCTGCCCACGTCCTCACCGTATGACTCAAAACCCAGCATGACACACAGGCAGGCAAGACCCAGAAGGGGATCGAAGGTGGCCCACGTGGGACCCTGGGACTTGAGCAGGGCGGTGGTGAGCTCCCTGAGCCTCTGCCTGAGCCCCAGGACTGGGAGCTGCAGAGGCTCTAACCTGGAGGAACCACAGACACACACCCATTGGGGGATGGAGGGAGAGCCTGTCTGACCACACCCACCCATGACAACCAGCAGGGGCACTCAGTCCCCACGGCCCATGTCATCCGGGCCAGTGGTGACCCGTCTTCTTGTCCAGGCCCCAGAGTGGGCAGTGCCGCACGTGTCAGCAGGACGAGGTGAGCTGGCCTCCTGCAGCCCACTGTCCGGATTTCCCTGCATCTGAGAGCTGG